TTCTTTTATTAAAAAAATGAGAAAATTTAAATAGACAGACTAAAATAAAAAAATTTAATTGGACAGAAGAAATACTTTTTCCGACTATTTATTTTTTCATTTTTTTTTGTCCTATAACAAAGTATCAATTTCTTCTTTTATTGATTGTATTATCTATCCAATATTACAAATACCCTTCAAATTTACAATATATTACACAAATGTGATTACATTTGTATCATGCAATATTAATAAGGTTAATTTAGTCTTTTTACCTTTATTTCTACTATATTTCAATAAAATTTTAATATTTCTAAAACTCAATACAAAAAGCAAATTGATAGATAGATACGAGAGTGAGGAAGCATATATTTTACCAATGATCCTCTCAATTAATATTTATAAAATATATTATTTTTTTTACAAAATATTTAAGCAAATCTCCTTTTTAACATCCTTTCTTCACTTAAATCCGATATAATTTTCAATTAACGTATATAAATTTTATTATTTTATAAAAAAAATAACATTCAATTTAAAATACTATTTTTCATATTAATGATACTATTTTTTATACTTTATTCAGAAAGAAAAAAAATTTCAAATTACAAAACTAAACAAACACACCTTAGGTTAGTTGGGTTTTTGTCATTTTTAGTAACATTGGAACCTACAACTGATATTTTTTTAAGATATAGTTTTATTTAAGTATTGCATATGATGTTTCATGAAATAGTGAGTTGGTTCTTTCTATGATTTTTATTATTATTATTATTTATAATAGTTTTGATATGAAATTTCTGTAAGAACAAAAATAATATATATTTTTTTGATAGAGATTTAAAAAAAAAAAAACGAGCAGATTGTAGTATAATAAAAGATTTGCAAACCAAAAAAACAAGATGATCATGAAATGTTTGGCAGTGGGGAGTCAATTTGTGACCGTGAGGTTATGGATTAACTTTTGAACCTCCAGAGGTTCACCTGCCACACCGTTGACAAAAAAATTCTCTTAAAATATTTTACATTTGATTTATTTTTATCTTTTGTTTGCATAGTGGTTGTTCTTATATATAATATATAAATAATATTTGGTGGGATTTGAGTTTGAGTTTTGAATAGTAAAATTTTATTTTGAAATAGTTATTTATTTTTATATAAATATATTTTGATGTGATAATTTAAAATAATATAATAAATAAAAATAATTATTTGATTTAATATTTTTAAATAAAATACTCTCTCCGTCCCAAAAGTATAGTCTTGTTGTGTTGGGCACGAGATTTAAGGAATATTGATATTATATTGGTAGTTGGTAAAAAATAAGAATAAATGATTTTTTTGCCCTTGTAAGTATATTACTGTAAAAAAGTAGTGACAATTGTGTAATAATAATGAAAAAATAGGGATAATTTTATGGTGATATGATTATTTATGGAAATGAGACTATTATTTTAGGACGAACAAAAATGGTAAACAAGACTATTGCGACGACGGAGAGAGTAATAAAATTCAACCAAAAACTCTACAAACCAACACATATTGTATTTTAATAAAAAAATTATAATGATTGTGTATTAAAATTTTAGAAAAAAAATAAAAAAAATCACCAAGAACAAAGTCTATAATCTCTTAAAAATACTTCCTTGGAAAAGGAAATATTTACATTTTGCATGAAGTTTATGAGGATAGTTTTGGTATGAAAATACTATTTTACCTTATGATGTGTAAAATTAATATAAAAATATTAATATAAATAAATATAAGTGTGAGAGTATTTGTAACATATAATAAGACCTATACATATTAAAATAAATGAATACTTTATGTTTGAACAATAAAAAAAATAGCAAAATATATATTTACCAAGTAGACCGGAAGAATTTCATCTAACAAAACTACTATATGTAACCTATTATTTAAACTAAAATAAAAAACACAAAAACATCTAATATTTCAAGTTAAAAATTTCAACTTTTACTATTAGATTTTTATTTTTTCTTTAGAAATACTCTCTTCGTCCATTTCTAACGTTTATATATTTTTATTTTCGTCAATCCAATTCAAATGTTTACAGTAGTGACACTCAACCTTAGGACAATAGATATAAAGATGATCAGCATTCGGGCAGCTGAAAATTTATCATACTGAGGTGGTCGGGCATCCTTGCGATTATCTCTGCGATGAGTAGTAGAAGAGGGAACTACTAAAGTCGAATCAAGGGTAGGAGCCTTGAGCATCTTGAAGCAGGTGTCCTCAAACAAAATCTCCTTCATCGGTTTCTCCAAGGAAGGAAAAGGATGACGATGAAGCAAGGAAGCACGCACAAACTCATATTCTGGACCAAGCTTCATAAAGAGTTGAACCAATCGAAAGTGCTCAATCTGTATGTTTGTCTCATCAATGCGATCCCACATAGACTGTATAGTAGAGAGGAACTCATTCATATATTGGCACGAGTCATGTGCCAGTGCATTCAATGACTCTATAAGTTGATAATAATGCATGCCTTCAGTGGCATGATATCGATGCTGCAAATAATCCCAAGCTTTGTTGGCAGTGTCCATGCGGCGAAGTTGAATTTGAATGGACTTGGAAGAGGAATAATGTGGTTCTTACTATCCCTATAAATATACTCAAATTTACATTTGTTATTTATCTTAGTATCATTTTATCAAATTTGGCGGTTATTGTACTAAGTTTTACAAGAAATCACATTGTATATTGACAAGTACCACATGATATGATTATAATAAACAATATATTGTTTATATTAATATAATATAATATAAATAAATCACATGAATTAACAATGCTTACACATGACATAGTCCACTCAACGGCGGCGAAATTCAACACCGTGTTGACATATAACACACGGTATTACTACAAATAACACATGTATGCATTCATATAATACAAATAAAACATATGAACTAACAATACATGCTATAGTCTCATACAACACACACAATAATTGATTTTAACACATCACATACTTTTATACAACACATCTATAGTTACGAACAAACAACGCGTGTCTTTATTATATACGATATGTGTTGTGTATAATAAAATTGATTTTGTTTGTATATATTACGAATGTTGATTTGAAAAATCAGTACGATGCTAATTTTTTCAAATCAGCACTATAACCGTTCCCCCACTCAACATATGATACAATTGATTTCAGCATATAACAACGTACCAACTTTCAACACCGTGAGAAATAAAAGCATAGGTTACATGTTGTTATAAAAGTGTTAGACTCAGCAAATTCTAATCAACACCGTAAGTATTCCTCAAATTAATATATAAAAGCAAACTAATTTTAATACATATAAAATATCAATTAATTATTTAAATATATTTTTGCCGTTTCAACTCAAAGTATTATTTTATTATTTTTGTTTATTTCACTTAAAAGTATTATTTTCCTATTTTAGAAAAAATAATCATATGCTAATACCAAAATACCCTTAATTTTTACTTAAATTACAAAGATATCATTACACATACAATTATTTTATACAATTTCTTTTTTATGTGAGATATATGAAATTGTGTAAATAATATTAAAATAATGAATGTGTGTAATATATTAATTTTTTGGGAAAAATGTATTGGAGAATTTTTGTTAAAGAAACAAACCCAAAATCTCTTATACACTTCCTCTAACCAATAACATATTATTCCCTCCGTCCTACATATTGTGTCTGATTTACTGTAGATACGAAAATTCAGATTAAATATAATTGGTAAGTAATTAAGAAATGCATTAATAAAAACAATTATTGTATAATAAAATTAATAATATATTAAGATTAAGATAACTAAACAATATAATTACAATTAAAAAATTATAAATTATGAAATTTAAAATGAGACTAAAGTGTATAATTATATTTCCTAAAAACAAAATTGACAAATAAGATGGAACGAACAAAAAACTAAAAATAGTGGACAAAAAAAAAGAGACTGAAATGGGGTATTATTTCTTAATTTAATATACAACTCCAAATAACCCATTTGGATGGGACGGATGAAGTAATATTTTTTTTTAATTGTGAAACAAAAGTAAATATAGAATTTATTCATCCAATTTATTTTTTAGTGGCATGATTTCCCTATAAATATTATAACAAATATAATATATATACATATTAAAACAATATATAATATATATTATTCACCAAAAAAATCAAAATTCAATATAAAATATTATTTTTTTATATCACTGACATGATTTATTATATTTAATATAAAAATACATTCATCCAAAAATATAAAATGAACACACCATAAATGACAGATAAAATATACTCCCTTCGTCCAACTTTAAAGTTTATATTTACCTTTTGTGTCATTATATTTAATATTCAAAATATTTTTATATTTGTGTAATTTATTAATAAATAACATTAAATTTATATTATAAAAGACTAATAGAAATTTTTTTTTTTCTCTTAATTTATACTCCCTCGTCTAAAAGTAAGCTTCTCATTATCCCATAAGGGATGACATAGTGATGTAGGAATGGACTAGTGACTATGAGATAATAAGTAAAAACCTTCGACGTCCTCGTAATATTAATATATTGATATTTATACGAAAAAATATATAAATAAAAATATTTTTAATGTTAAAAATAGTGACATACTGATATAGTATTATGTTTTATATAATAATTAATATTTAAATATTAATACGACATAAATAAACAATAGAAGTGGAAGGAATTATTATTAAATTAATTGATTCAAAAAACGAGAACGATACTTACCTAAAAGAACACAAGTATAATTTTGTATTCAACAATATATACAATATTATAGCAAAATTATATATACACATTCGAAGTCCATTCCTTGGACGGGGACTGACGATCATGGCCGTCCTTTTCAATGCCACAGATCAACATCCAATCCCCAATTGCTTTCATATAATAATCATAATAAATAATAATATTAATAATAATAATAATAATTCCTTACAACGTGGAGTAGTATATATGTATATATATATATATATGTATGTATGTATGTTCGACACATAATTAATTAAGGCTAAGTCTAAGTCAGTCTCCCTCGCTCCTCCTGCTCCCATGGCAAATCACAACTCTGAATTATCCGACCAAGTCCCGGACCTGGACCAGGACCAGGACCAGCAGCAGCTCCACATAGTGATGATCCCATTAATGGCGCCCGGCCACATCATCCCCATCGTCCACATGGCCAAGGTCCTGGCCCGCCGCGGCCTCTCCATCACCCTCGTGCTCCCGCCCCTCACCGCCGCCCGCTTCCGCCCGGCCCTCGAAACCTCCAACAATGACAAGAAAATGATCCGGGTCCTCCCGGTCCCGTTCCCCGCCGAGGCCGCGGGGCTCCCGCCGGACTGCGAAACCGTGGACCGGCTGCCGTCGAACTCGCTGGTCCGCACTTTCTACATCGCGATCCGGCGGTTCCAGCAGCCGGTCGAAGCCGCCCTCCGGTCCCTCCCGGCCGCCGCCGCCCCCGCCGCCGTGATCTGCGACAAGCACCTCCCCTGGACCGCCGCCACCTGCGCCGAATTCCAAATTCCGAGGATAATCTTCGACGGCATGGGCTGCTTCGCTCAGCTTGTAATAAATTTACTCTACGAGTCCAGGTACGCCGTAACCTCATAATTTGAATTAATTAATTTGGATAAATATCAACCCCAATTTTTGGATAATCAAGACATTTGACTTCCTCCGTTTCAAAATTAAATATTCATTTGCTTTTTGCAAGTAATTTTAAAAATATATTATATTAGGATATAATAAGAATAAAGTAGAAATGACTAAAATAACTTTATTAGTATGTGTGATATAAAGGTAATGATATTTGTGTAATATATTGTAAGTTGTAAGGGTATTTGTAATGTTAGGTAGATAGTATAGTTACTAAAAAAGGAAATTAATACTTTGTTATGGGCGGACTAAAATGAAAAAATGGATACTTTGTTATGGACAGATGGAGTATTTCATCCGTCACGATAATTGAACTATTTGGTTAGGGACAAATATTTAAAATAAGAATATTTAATTAGTTAATAGTAATGGGTTATAATATTATTTTATATATAATTAATAATATTGATGGTTTTGGTAAATTTAATAGATATAATTAAAATAATTAAGATATATTTTTTTGAATATTTTAAAATTTATGTAGCAATAAAAAAAAATATATGCAATATGGATATTATTTGTTAGAGAATAAAATTTTCTGTAGCACAAGGAAATAAAAATACTTTTAGTTATTTATAATTAGTATAACTTAATTTTATAAAAGAGATGGAGTTTTTTTCAATATATATATATATATATATAAAATATTTATTTTTTTAAGAGGAAAGATAGAAATAGAGGGGTTTTGACTAGATGTTACGTATTTGTGATGTTATATGTTAAGTAGTTAATTAAGTTGATTTATATTTATTAAATATATTTTAATTTAATAAATTTTAATCAAAATATAAAGGTGTCGATTGTTTTGAAACAGAAATGTCAATCGTTGTGGAATAGTATATAAGTTTGCTCAATTGTATTTTTTGTTTCTTACTACTACTACTATTTTTGTTATTAATCTATAATAATTCTTTTTTAAATAATAATAAAGCAATAATCTATTTTTAAATATATTACACTAATAAGATTTTATTCCTTTCGGCATTTAAATTTAGTCATTTTTTAAAGATTATTTTCAAAAGTAATATTTATGTTTTTGTTTTTGGTAAAATTAGCTCTTTTCTTTCTACTTATTTTTATTTCTGATTTATTGTAGATACAAAGAATTCATGTAAAGTATAATTAGTAAATAATTAAAAGTGTATTAATAAAAATAATTATATATAATATACATAATTATAAATTAACACTAAAAAATATTGATTAATAAGTTAGAATATGATTAAAATATTTAATATTTTTTTTAAAAAAAGAAAACAAATAAAATGGAATATATCAAAATAAGAATAATAAATTTAAAGGAGTATTATTTATTTATATTAAAATTTATACTCAAAATTTGAACACATTTTAATGCCAGTGAGTATATTTTAAAATATCACATCAATTATCTATTTATATTACTTTCACTTTTAATATATATTTACTTCCTATTTTAGTCTTTCACAATAAATTTATTCATTTTTTTTTAGTATGAATTTTCCATTTAAATAAATATATCCCTAAACTACATATCATATTTTAAAATATATATATATATAATATTTAAAAATAAATAAATTTAAAGATAATCTCCTTTTATCATTATATTATTGTACGCTAAGGGTGTGTTTGTTCGAGGAATTTGGTGGGGTTTCTACAATTTTCATAAAAAAATTTCTCCAAAAACATCAAATGAAATATTTACTTTTTATTTTTTATATTATACTAAAAATTAATTTTTCATTCAAAACATCACATCAATTCTTATTTATATCACATCATACAACTATTCAAATTTAAAATTTTTATTAGTCAAATCTCAATCCAAAATCCAAACCCTCGAACAAACACACGCTAATAGTATTTTAAAATAGGAAAAATACCAACAAATAATCATTATATATATATATATATATATATATTTGATACGTTTTTTTTTTCGATACCAAATCCATTTGAAATATTTGCAATAGTTTTTGTTCACTTGAATTTTGATTATTTAATGAATGCATTTTTTAGAATAGCTTATTTTTACATTATTTACAAATAATGCAAATATTTTAGGGTGTGTTTGTTTGAAGGATTTCTGTTAATTTATACTATTCACGCAAAGTTTTTCTCCTAAAAATATCAAATCAAACACTTATTTTTTATTTTTTATATTATACTTAAAATCAATTTTAAATTCAAAATATCACATCAATACATATTTTTATCACATTATACAATTATTCAAATTCAAGTTTTTTACTATTCAAATCTCAATTCAAAATCCAAACCCTCAAACAAACGCACCCTAAACATTCATGGTTGAATATTTGTTTATTTCAATTTGATTTGAATACCAAATATTTATATATTTGCAAATAATCACTACCAAAGTTGAAATTTAGCTACAAAAAATTTCATAGCAAAATGTAATAAATTTTTAGCAAAAATATTTTTGCAATGCAACTCATTTTGTTGCCTATGCTGCATTAGTAAAAGTCTTTGATGAGAATATGACTTTAGTAACGAAAAATATATTTTTTGCAATGAAAGTTCGGAAAAATGATAGCTACGAAAATATAATTCATAGCCAAAGCTCTTTTGCTATAAAAATAAAATTCATAACAGAAGAATTTTAGCAACAAAATATGGATGATTTTTTTAACCAAATGATTATGAAAAATAATTTTGTATCTAAAACCTTTTTTCTATAAAATAGAATTTCCTAACAAAAAAAAGTTTAGCTACGAAATTAATTTTGTAGTACATACATTATTTTTAGCGATAAAATTAATTTTTGTTATTGAATAATATGTTTTAACTACAAAAAATTTAATAATTAAAAATACTGTAGATAATTAGATACTCCTTATGTCCCTTAACAATCTATTATTTTTTTCATTTTGGTCCGTCCCATAACAAAGTATCCATTTTCTTTTTTCAGTAACTGTACTATCTACCTAATATTACAAATATCCTTCCAATTTACAATATATACAAATATCATTACATTTATATCATACAATACCAATAAGGGTAGTTTAGTTTTTTTACCTTTATTTCTACTACGTCTCAATATAATAGTTAATATTTCAAAAATTCTGTGCAAAAAATAAATGGATAGATAGATATGGAACGGAGAGAGTATTTTTTTTTAATAAATTAAACCATACCCACCCGTAATTTCAGGGCGTATGAGAATCGTCCGCTGATGGAGCCCTTCCCCGTGCCGGGATTACCCGACCCCGTCAAGTTCTGCCGCGCACAGCTCCCGGGGATGTTCAATCCCGGCTCCTTTGAGGCCTACGATTTCCGGGCCGAGGTGCGCGCGGCAGAGCTACAAGCTTACGGTGTCGTCATCAATACATTCGAGGAGCTCGAGACGAGCCACGTCGCCGAGTACCGTCGCCTCAGGGCCGGGAAGGTCTGGTGCGTCGGCCCACTATCCCTCGCGGTCTCCGACGACGCAGAGAGAGGAGAAAACCCGGACGCCGAGAAATGCCTAAAATGGCTCGACGGGAAGAATCCGGGATCGGTCGTATACGCCTGTCTCGGCAGCCTGAGCCGCCTCCCGCTCGAAAAATTCGTCGAGCTCGCCCTTGGCCTGGAAACGTCGAACCGGCCGTTTATCCTGGCGGTGAGGGGCGTCGATACCTCGATCGACGATTGGATCCGTGACGACGGGTTCGAGGACAGAGTGTGCGGAACCGGGCTATTGGTCCGTGGATGGGCCCCACAGGTTTATTTTATTTTAACTTAAATTATACAAAACTGATATGTGATTTCACAAAATTGCGTAAAATCTTTATACTTTGAAAATTATGCCAAATTTTCTTGTAGTTTCACAAACTTTGTATCTAATTTCATCGGCCGTCTTTATTTAATCGTGTTTAACTTGTACGCGTCCAAAATACAAATAAGTTTTAAAATCCTAATTTCTAAACCTTTAAAATTACAAATATATTCATAATTTTTATTATTTAACCTAAAAACCAGTAAATATATTCCTAAATGGTTGTTTTTATCTGCTTTTAAAAGTTTTTTTTTTAACGTTCTTTGAGGCTAAATATACCATAAATGAATATATTTATAATTTTAGGAGTTTAGAAATTAGTAATATGAAATCTATTTGCAATTTGAGCGCGTGCAGGTCAAAAACCGTTAAATAAAGACGGACAAGGGGGTTAGACGCAAAATTTATGAAACCACAAATGAGTTTGACGCAGTTAAAAAGAATAAGGATTTCGTGGAATTTTGTGAAACCACTGATGAATTTTGTGCAATTTAACCTTAATAATATAAAAATTTAGTAAATTCAAATTTAAATTTAGACTACTTAGTTTATCAAATTTATTTTATATTATCTATATATATAAATATATATAGACCTTTTTATTTTGATAATCAATATAACGCAATGTTTCATTTTCCAAATACTCTATAGGTTGCGATACTTTCGCACGGCGCCGTCGGAGGATTTCTGACGCACTGTGGATGGAATTCGACACTCGAGGGGATTAGCGCCGGCGTGCCGATGATGACGTGGCCAATGTTTGCGGACCAGTTTTTGAACGAGAAGCTGGCGGTGGAGATTTTGGGGGTGGGGGTGGGGGTGGGGGCTAGGGGGGTGGTGCATTTGGGGGAGGAGGATAAGGTTGTCGAGGAGTACGAGGAATGTTATAAAGTGACAAGAGATGGGATAAGGGAAGCCATTGAAAGGGTTATGAAGGAAGATGAAGAAGAAGGAATGGAGATGAGGAAAAGGGTACGGAGACTTGCTGAGCTGGCGAAGAAATCCGTTGACAGAGGAGGGTCGTCTTGTCGGAATCTTACATTGCTCATTCGAGAAATTGGTCGGATGAACAAGAACAAGGAGAAGGGCAATAATAATAATAATAATAATAATAATAATAATTGAATAGATGTTTGGAGTTTGATAAGATGATAAATTTTATATAATTATTATGCTTTTATTAGATAATAAATTTAGTGTGTTGTTTTGATGTATGGTTTCGAATATTTTAGTATATAAATAATACTTGTATGTGTGTTGGTTTGTTTTTTATTTGTTTAAAAAAATATATTTCCTTCGTCTGTAAGTTTTTCATTTGATATTTTGTATGTGAATTAAGGTAAATTAGTATTTTATAAATATTTAGTATAATAAAATAATGTAATATTTTTATTTTGTTTTAATATTTTAAAAGTAATGTAAAAAAGTAAAAAGAACAATGAATATTTTGATATTTAGTTGATATTTACTTTTACTTTAACAAAAATAAAAAGTTTTTTTATAATATGAAAAATAAAAAATATGAATATTTTCATATTTAGTTGATAGTTATCTTTATTAAAAAATAATAATAAAATTTTATAATGTGAAAAAGTAAAAAATATGGGTATTTTGATATTTAATTGATAGTTATTTTTACTAAAAAAAAAAATTAAAAGTTTTTTATAATATGAAAAGTAAAAAATATGATTATCTTTGGTATTTAGTTGGTTGTTATTTTTACTTAAAGAAAAACGAAAAGTTTTTTTCTTGGACAACTAAAATAGAAAAATAAAAAATTTACTATTGGACGGAGGAAGTATATTTTATTTATAAAAAATAATTTTTACATATTTTTTAATTTATATATTTTAACATTTACTTATTTACAAAAAAAAAAAAATCACAAGTATTTAGGGTGTGCTTTAAAAAAAAACTCATATTTTTCAAAAGAAAAATATTTTTTTCGTCCCATAACAAAGTATCAATTTTTCTATTTTTGTCTGTCTCATAACAAAGTATTTATTTTTTTTTTAGTAATTGTACTATCTACCTAACATTACAAATACCCTTATAACTTACAATATATGACACAAATGTCATTACCTTTTATATTACACAATACTAATAAGGTTATTTTAATCATTTCTATTTTATTCCTACTACATTCCAATATAATATTAATATTTCTAAAATCATGTGCAAAAAGCAAATGAATACATAATTATAAGACGACGAAGAGAGTAATATATTACACATATTTATTATTTTTTATATTATCTACATAATTTATATATATTTCATGTAGAAAATATCTCTTCAAAATAATTTCACAAAACAAACCCGCCCTTATTCACCTAAGTTATTAATAAAAATAGTTTTTTTACATTATTAACCCTTTTTAAAATATGTTCATTTTATGTCATAATTAATTAATTAATATAATAGTATATTAATTAACATTCATGTCCAATTCAAATCAACGTCCAGTTGGTCGAGAGAAGAAAACAAATTTTCATTAAAGACGTTAGTTTCACTTATGAATGATCACGTTCAAATAATTAATTGTTGAATCTAAAAATGAAAATAAATGATCAAATAAAATTTCGAAACAATATATTTATTTTCTCGTCGGGCTTGGTTTGCAGAGTATTAGGTTCGACCGGAGGTTTATCTAGTGCGCATTTTTTAGTAGCAACTGCGGATTCCCGCGTCATAAAAAAAAAAAAAAAAATTGTTCATAACTCTCTTTCGATTTCGAAATTCTGCGTAAAATCTCACTGTACTTTAAAAATTGTATGGTATTCTCTTATACTTTAAAAAATATTGCATGACACATCACCCCTATGAAACCTCCATGGTGTGATGCGAAGGTGATTTCCTATCCATATTTTTTGCACGGCGGAAGGTTTCATGCAACATTTTTTAAAGTATAAAGGCGTAATGCATTTTTTTTTAAGTGAAATAGAGATTTACACTGAATTTCGAAACCATAGAGGGGTTTTATGCAACGTTTTTTGAAAGTATAAGGGAACGCTACGCAATTTTTAAAGCAAATGAAAAATTTACCCTGAATTTCGAAATCACAAGTAAGTTATGAACAATTTTTTCAAATATAAATAAATACTTCTTTCATTCCACGTTGGATGTCTGCCGTCACTGTATACACACAAATTTAGAATAAGTATAATTAGTAGATAATTAAAAATGTATTAGTGAAAATAATTATCTTATAATATAAATACTTATAAATTAAAACTAAGATATCTAATTACTTTAATTAAAATTTAAAAAAAAAAAATTTAAATGAGATTAAAATGTCTAGTTATTTTTTTTTAAAAAAAATAACATGGAACGTGAGACAGACAGAAACGGCATTATAAATATGCTATGTGGGACGGAAGGAATATAAAATTTATATTAATATAATAAAAATATAATATATAAACAGACAATTCTCGACAATAGTCCGAATAAACAGCAAAAATGCATATGTAGCCGATGGAGGGAGTAAATAATAATAAGTGCTCAAACATTAATACAAACATACATGGAAGATTATTACATAAAAGTTTCTTATTGAAACACAATTAACCAAATATCGATCCAATTCCGTACATACATCTATATATAACCTACTTAATAATAATAATAATAATAATAATAATAATAATAATAATCAATGAATCAATACCAAATTGATTGACTCATGACCGGAAATGCCAAAGGATACAAGTTGCCCTACACAAAGCCCGCGGCGGCGGCGGTGCGGCGGCGATCTCCTCCGGCCGGTGGCGGGGGCGGGGGTCGAAGAGGGTGTATTAAGACAGAGATTGTCGGGATGTTATAAGGATGGGTAATAAAACTTTTCTTTTTTTTCCACTAAAGGAGATATAAGCAGAGCATCTTCCAAAGGATATTCCATTGCCACCTTCATTACTCCATTTGCTTTTTATATTTCTTTATTTATTTAATTTTATTTACTTATTTATTGCTGAATTTTTATTTTATTATTATTTTATGATGTAATTAAACTTTATGCAAATATTTAGACACTCTTTCTGTCTCAATCCAACGGAACTTTTGTAATACATTAAAAAATAATATTTTCTCTGTCCCAAAAAAGTTATTTTTGTTTTTTCATTTTTGTTTGTCTCAAAACAATTGTCTTATTTTGTTATTTAGTAATTGTGGTCCCCACTTTATAACAAATTTATTCCTATTTTTTAAAATTACCTCTAATTATTATTCTAATAAATTTTTTAAAATCCTTAAAAAAGTAAGGGCATTTTAGTCTTTTACATTCTATTTTATACCAACTTTCAATTAAATACTAGTATTTCTTAATTCTCGTGCCAACAGCCAATAAGACGTCTCTTTTGGAACAGATGGAGTAGTATTTTATTAATTAGTGGAAATGTGTAAAAAAATTTAATATTTTTGTCCTTTGAATAATTGTATATATAATGATATATTTGTAATTTTTAAGTAAAAATTAAAAGTATTTTGGTATTAGTGTATAATTATTTTTTTAAAAATAAATTCTCTATGACAAACAAAAATAGTAGAAAAGATAGTTTAAGTTGAGATAAAAGAAAGTATAATTTCTTTTAAAAAAAATTATTTTTTTATTTTTTATTTTTTATTTTTTGAAACCTATTATTATAAGGGTTTCAATGAAAAATATCCACTGAGAACTTGTAATTATTAACTTAACTTCATTATTCTTTTATATATATATATATTTCTCATTATCTATATCAATATTTAAATTATTTCACTTAATAGTCATTGTAATATACCACCTTCAATTCATTATCTTTACTATTTTATAAAATTTATAATAATTAACTTTTTATCTTTTTATTATACTCCTATAATAATATATATAATTTATTATATAATACTTCATCTGTTTCACATATTATGTCACATTTTCTATTTTCATCCGTCCAACGAAGTATATCACTTTTCTTTTTTGAGAAAGTATTTTAGCTTGTAATCATATTTTAAATTTTATAATTTATATATATTTTTTTAATTTTTATTAGACTAATTAGTTATTTTTAATTTTAATTTATAATTATTTGTATTATATTTTAATTAATTTTACTAATATATTCGTGATTATTTACTAACCATACCCTTCTAAAATCTCATGTCTACAGTATCCGTGACGTCGTATCTGAGACAAAGGAGTATTATATTTTATTTTTTATAGAATATGATAATGTTGTTGAAAAAAATTCTCGGAAAAGAATTCTCACAACTTCTCAATGTTGGCCACAATATTCATAACAGTAGTTTGTTAGGGGTATGTTAGCAATTTGTTGTAAATTAGTTACGCTTGGATTTCTTCTCTCTCTCCTTTTTGTATATATATTACTTATGTACTCCTTAATGATCAATGAGAAAATACAGAAATTCAGCTTCACATGCCACCTGCTCATATCTCGTTCACAACTATCTTCTTATGGTATCAGAGCAGATACTTACTGCTAGCTAATTTTTCATGGCCAATACTTCTAAACCAGAGTATCAAAACACTTTGAAATTTTGGCTCATCTGCTCCCTAAAGCCTTAATACTACAACCCGGAGATCATTCCAGTTTCTCCCTATCCATCATTTCTCTCAATGGTAACAACTATATCACTTGGTCTCGAATAGTTCGCACATCACTTCTTGCAAGAGGAAAGCTAGGCTTCATCACTGGTGCATTACCTATACCAAGATACGATGATGTTATATATGAAGCTTGAATTGAAGCCGATACAATGATGTGGGCTTGAATCTGAAACTCCATAGCTCCAGAACTTCAAAATGCATTAGTCTTTGCCCCAAGAGCCAAGCAACTCTGGGATAATATGACGGAGAAATTTGGACAATATAACTCCTCACTTATATTTCAGTTGCAAAAGAGTATCTTGTCTTATCTCAAGGTGGAGATAAAATTTCTACCTACTACACTAAACTACAGAAATTGTGGGATAAGTTAACAGTTATTGATCCTCTAACTAGTTGTTCATGTGGAAAGTGTTCTTGTGATGTCAAGATTTGTAGTACTACTTGGTTGGACAGAGATCAACTCATTCAATTTCTCCCTCATCTGAATGAGACATACGAGAGCCTCCGATGACAAATTCTCCTAATGGATCCCTTGCCAACCATGAGTTGGGCCTATGCTCTGCTTCTGCAAGTTGAAAAACAAAAAGAGATGCAAGTTACAACAAGAGAATTTGCCAATCAAAATGTGGCAGCTACTGAATTTAAAAGGACTGATATCAATAGAAATTTGGGAGA